TGTGCCGTGCCGCAATGAAGCTTCGGTGGAGCTCCTTGTGGGACCAGGGCCACGATCCTCGAGAGGGGTGTGCCGAAATGAAGCTTCGGTGGAGCTCCCTGTGGGGCCAGGGCCACGATCCTCGACAGGGGTGTGCCGAAATGAAGCTTCGGTGGAGCTCCCTGTGGGGCCAGGGCCACGATCCTCGAGAGGGGTGTGCCGAAATGAAGCTTCGGTGGAGCTCCCAGTGGGGCCAGGGCCACGATCCTCGAGAGGGTGTGCCGAAATGAAGCTTCGGTGGAGCTCCCTGTGGGGCCAGGGCCACGATCCTCGAGAGGGGTGTGCCGAAATGAAGCTTCGGTGGAGCTCCCTGTGGGGCCAGGGCCACGATCCTCGAGAGGGGTGTGCCGAAATGAAGCTTCGGTGGAGCTCCCTGTGGGGCCAGGGCCACGATCCTTGAGAGGAGTGTGCCGAAATGAGGCTTCGGTGGAACTCCATGTGGGGCCAGGGCCACGATCCTCGAGAGGGGTGTGCAGAAATAACACTTCGGTGGAACTCCCTGTGGGGCCAGGGCCACGATCCTCGACAGGGGTGTGCCGAAATGAAGCTTCGGTGGAGCTCGGCCCCACCGGTCCCACAGATCCGCCGCCGCCGCCGCGGCCGCGCCGTGGATGGGGGCTACATGCGGGGCGTAGCCCACCCCCAGGGGGGGGTGCCGAAGGCCGTTCGGGAGGGGGGGGTTGCTGGGTTGCTGGGGGGGGGGGGGGCGACCTTCATGACCGCCTTGTTCAACAACAACAACAACAACAACAACAACAACAACAACAACAACAACAACACCAACAACAACATCAACAACAACACCAACACCAACAACAACAATCAGTTTAAGACTGTTCGTTCTTATCTGCTTGCGTGTCCTTCAATATGCATATCCCAAAAACTGGATACCCGCCCTCTTCGTCTTCGATCGTACCCCCTTTGGGGGGGTACATTCATTCCCTGCCACGTGTGGTTGGTGAAGCCCTTGAGAACGAAGGGCAACAAATAACGGGGGGGAATGAGGACGAAGAGATCGGAGGAAGGGAAGGGAGGGGCAAGAAGGAGGGAGGACGATTATTTGCGCTCTGAGTGGCGATTCCGCTTGCGCCATGGCTTGCGCCAGCCACTCCGGGGAAGCAGCGACGAGGCCAGCGGCAGCCACTCCGGAGAAGCAGCGACTGGCTCAAGCCATAGCTTGCGCCATGGTTTGAGCCGTCGGGAAGCAGCGACGGGGCCACTGAGGGCAGCAACGGGGCCACGAAGGGCAGCGAGCGAAGGCGACCGCGGAACCAGTACGGACGGGCAGCGAGGGGCATCGAAGGCAGGCGAAGGGCAGCGAGCGGCGACTGCAGTCCCTAACGGGCTGGTCGGGCGGGCAGGCCCAGACGGGCGGGTCGAGCGGGCGGTTCGTTGAAGCGTAAAGTCTGCTTGAACCGCCAGGCAATATGTAGCGGGAGCGCGATTCCTGAGTGTCGAAGAGCGGCATCTGAATAAAATGTGAGGAAGTATCAGGCGGGAGCCGCGATTCGGTGGTAAGTTGCGAGGAAGTCCCAAGCGAGAGCGCGATTCTCTAATAATTTGTGAGGAAATATGAGGCGGGAGCTGCGATCCGGTGGTATGTTGCAAGGAAGTCTAAGCGAGAGCGCGATTCTTCAATAGATTGTGAGGGAGTAGCAGGCGGGAGCCGTTGTTGTTGTTGTTGCTGCTGTTGCTGTTGCTGTTGCTGTTGCTGTTGCTGTTGCTGTTGTTGTTGTTGTTGTTGTTGTTGTTGTTGTTGTTGTTGTTGTTGTTGTTGTTGTTGTTGTTGAAAACTGGGGGCCAACGACACAGTGTGACCCTCAAAACTTTCCCTGATAAAAAAACAAGGTGCGAGCCCCGGGAAGGACACTTCAATCGAAAAAAACAATGCGCACCAGAAGGGGGGGATCAACAATAATTATTCTTCAGAAATGAAAGTTCAACGGCAGCGGCATCGACGACGACGGCGGCGGCATCGATGACGTCGTCGACATCGTCGGCGACGACGATGACACCGACGACAGAAGACAGACGGCCGACGACCGACGACCGACGACCGACGACCGACGGCCGACAACCGACGACCGACGGCGACGACGGCGGCGCGTGGCGACAGCGACAGCGGCGGCGCGCGGCGGCGCAAGGCCTCGCCCGGTGCGGCGGCTCCCGCTCCCGCTCCCGCGCCCAGGGCGCCCTGGCCGAGGCGGCGGCCAGATCGCCTCCTCCCCCTCCTTCTCCCCTCCTCGTCCGCACTCCTCCCCCTCGCATCGTAACCAAAATCTGGCCACTTCTGTTATTTCTGGCCTCCGCGGACCCTCAAGGGGCCCCGGGACTGTCAAACACTCGCCGACTCTAGGAAACCTCGGTCCCGGGAAAGGGGTCAAGACCTCTGGGCGGCCCCACGTGGCGAAAAAACATGACGTCAGCGGTCTGGGTGCTCCTCCTCCTCCTCCTCCTGCTCCTCCTCCTCATGCTCCTCCTCCTCCTCCTCATGCTCCTTCCTCTTCCCCCTCCTGCTTCCTCCTCTTCCCATCCTCCTGCTCCTGCTCCCTCCTGCTTCCTCCTCCTCCTCCTCCTCCTCCTCCTCCTCCTCCTCCTCCTCCTCTAGGACACACGCCAACATGGATTAGGGTTCCGTGGACCTGGCGCGAGGGCGCCAGATCCGCGGGACGGGGAAGGTTACCGCCCGAAGCGTGAGGCCAATGCCGCCCGGTCTGGCGACAATGCGCGCCAATCCTGTGAGGGCGCGGGGCGCACAGCCAATCGTCGCGCCCCAATCCTTGCTTGAGCTTCCTCGATCCTCGGCCTCCTTCGGCTCCCACCTCCCTCTCCCCATCCCTGCCCTTCAAACCCAGGCTGCGCCGAGGGCGAGGCGGGGTGCGGTGTGGACGAGGTGCTCTCCGACCTCCCTCCTCCCCCCTTCTCCTCCTGCGCACGGCAGGCTCGTGCGGTGCCGTGGCGCCTTGCGCGCTGGTCTTGGCACTGCATGGATCGATCCGCCTTGAACGATCGCGGCTTTTCGACAGCGCCGATCGTGCAGTATCGGCCAACTCCAGGTCGCCAGCGGCATTCAGCCTTGAACGCCCGTGCTGGGGTCGCCGCTGCGTAGGCACGGCACGAACCTGCCATGTTCACATCCACGCTCCCGAGGTCTGGAGCGAAGCCTGCTTGCCAGCTTAGAGCCGGTCACGGGCGAACCAGAGCAGACGGGTTCGAAGCCCGTTTACCGGTTTCGAGCCCGAGGGCGCGGACTCTCTTCCGGGATCGTCCATGGGCTGACATCATCGGGAGCAGAGGCGGGACAACTCACCAGCGGCGAACATTTCCGTATGCACGCCCTCGCGGTCTGGATGCACAAGCTCGATCCCATGGATGCGCGATCCGATGCATACGTCGCGCGCGGGGCACATCGGCGATTGGGATTGCGGCCGAGGAGTCCAGGCCGCGAGGCCGCGGACATGGACATGGTTCCCAGCCGCGAGCTCAAACGCTGGGATCCTGGAGGAGTACTCCGGGTGGTTCCACTTGCACTGCGCCCCGAACTTGCACTCGCCAGTCTTGACGTAGTGCTGGCAGTCTTGTTCACCAGGCCGCAGAGGAAACCCTTTCGCATTCAGCTCGGCATCGGCGTCACGACTCCATTCTCGCGGTTCTCTCCACTCCTGCTGCCTCGGTTGCGACTCCTTGTTTTCCTGCTGCCAGTGCTCGGCTTTGCCGTTCTTCCGTTCCTCCCAACGTCTCGCAGTCTGAAATGAAGCATGAGACGCATCTGACTGCCAAGCAGACTGCCTTGACGTTGAGTCTTGCCCCTGACTCGCAGCCCACTGTCCAGCAGAGCTCGCCCGACCTGAGCTTGGGTGGTTGTACCTGCACTGCGCCCCAAACTTGCACTCGCCTGTTCTGACGTAGTGCTCGCAATCTTTGGCATCGGCTCTGCGGGGGTATCCAGACTCGTTCAGCTTGACCTCAGCGTCGCGACCCTGTGCATACCGGTCCGTCCATTCCTGCTGCTTTGGTGGTGCTCCCTTCTGCCAAGTATCGGCCATTCCAGTCTTCCAGTCCTCCCAACGCTCCGAAGCAACATAACCTCGTGAGTTGTTCTCCTGATGCCAGGCATCGCCACTGTCGGAACGCCCCTCCTTTCTCCAGTTCTCGTCCTTACCAGTCTTCCACTCCTCCCAAGAGCCCCTCGCCCATTTACTCTTCTGCCAATCGTCGCCACTTTTAGAGCTCGCTCGACTGAAGCAGGGGTGGTTGTACCTGCATTGAGCCCCATACTTGCACTCGCCCGTATTGACATAGTGCTGGCAATCCTTGGCATCGGCCCTGAGGGGGTACCCGTGCTCGTTCAGGTCTACCTGGGCGGCTCTCACAAGAATTCTCGAGTCTATCGGAAACGTCCGAATGTGCGTCCCGATCTGGGGTTGCGAAAGGACAGCTCCTGGTTGCAACTGCAATCAAAACCAATCAGAAGGATGGAGTTCATAACGATACAATTCACCTGGAACGCACCAAGATGCCAGAATACCCCTGGACCAAGGAGGCAAAGAACACGCAAATAATGCCCACAATCAAGGAATGCAACAGCGTCTTGCCTCAAAAGGCTTATCGATAAGTCCCGGCTGCCCTGAACAGGCCCCAAGATGGTTTGCAAAGTTTGAATGCCCCAACCCTGTGGGGGCGCCGTGGTGTTGAGAGTTCCCACGCTGGGGGCCTGCTGAGACCAGCCAGGACTGCCTCTAGATGCCGCCTATGCGCAACGCGCCCCTGTCGGCCCTCGTGGTCGTAGAGGTGTTCGAACGAGGGTCCACTGGATCTCTTGACCCCTTGCCAGGTCGACGCGTCGACGGTCCCAGGACCTAGAACGGGCCTACGCAGGCCGAGATTGAGCTTGGGGTACAATAAACGGGGAGCTGAGGGTGTACCGTGATCGCCACAAGCAAAAAAAAACGCCTGCGCTGGACAGCCCACCAGCATTGCACTGCCACATAATCACGGCGGACGTCTTGGTCAATCCGTTTTTTGATGGCCCTGGGGCCCGGGGCCCTGGAGGCCGAAATCAGCAAAAAACTCCCAGATTGTAAAACGCATGCCGTAGGAGATCCAGGTTTTCACTACCAGGCCGCCTCGCGGTCCCGCTTCTGGCCGCCACCACCCACGGCGTCGTACCAGTGCGCCATAAGGGGGGGCGCCAGGCCCAGGCGTCGTTCGAGCCAGGTCTGTCACGGGGGACGGAGAGCGAGGGGGAGCAGGCGGACGAGTATGATGACGACTATAAGGGAAGTGGTGGCGATGCCAATGACGATGACACTGGCAGTGGCGATGAGAATGCTGATGGCAATGATGATGATGATGATGACGGTGAGGATGCAGATGATGATGATGATGATGATGATGCTGATGACGATGATGATGATGATGATGATGCTGATGACGGTGATGCTGATGACGGTGATGGTGCAGATGATGATGATGATGATGATGGTGGTGATGCTGATTGTGGTAGTGTTAAAGATGTTGATGCGGATGCTGATGATGATGATGACGGCAGTGATGATGGTGACGGTGAGGGTGGTGACTATGACGATGATCGTGACGGCAATGATCACGATGATGATGATGGTAATGAAGATGATGGTGATTATCACGGTGATGCTTATGCTGGTGATAGTGATGGTGATGTTGGTGATGCTGATGCTGCTGATGGGGATGATGGTGATGCTGATGAGAATGCTGATGCAGATGGTGATGATGATGGCGATGATGGCGATTGTGATGCTGATGGTGCTGCTGGTGACGCTGCTAATGATGATGCTGGCGCTGCTGCTGATGATGATGGCGACGGCGAACAAGTACGGTCGGGATGGTTACGATGATGTTGATGATGGCTATGATGATGCTGATGATAGCGATGGCGGTGATGATGGCATGGGTATTGTAGTGGTGATGCTGATGATGACGATGCGAATGGTGATGCTGATGATGCTGATGTTGATTATGGTGATGATGATGATGCGGATGCTGATCATACTGATGATGATGATGGCGCTGGTAAGTATATTGGTGCTGATGATGGTGGTGACGGTGATGATGGCGATGGTAAGTATGTTGATGTTGATGTTGATGATGACGATGCTGATGATGCTGGTGATGGTGATAATGATGCTGGCGTTCATGATGATGCTAATGCTGGTGCTGATGGTGGTGTTGAGTACGATTGTGATGATGCCGATGACGGAGATGACGGTGGTGATGGCGATGGTAATCAAGATGATGCTGGTGGCGGGGATGATGAAGATTACAATCATGACGGTGATGATGGTGATGCTGATTTTGCTGATGATATGATGATGCAGATGCAGCTATGCTGATGATGGCGCTGGTAGTTATGTTGATGCTGGTGGTGGTGATGACGCTGGTCACGGTTATGTTGACGATGACAGGTACGATGATGCTGATAATGGTGGGGATGCTGGTGATGACCATGGCGACGGCCATGCTGATGATGCTGCTGCTGATGCTGATGTCGATGGTGGTGATAATCATGGTGCTGGTGATGCTGGTGATGGTGATAAATATGATGATGCTGATGGTGGTGACGACGGTCATGGTAGAATTTATGTGTATGATGGTGATGATGCTTTTTGATGGGGATGGTGCTGCTAATGATAGCGATGCTGATGCTGATGAAGATGGTGTTCAATGATGACTCTGCAGTTGCTGCTGCTGATGATGGTGGTAGTGATGATGTTGGTGCTGGTGGTGACGACGGTGATGCGGGCGATGGTAGTCAAACTGATGCCGCTGATAGTGATGATGCTGATGCTGCTGATGATGCTGACCACTATGGTGCTGATGATGATACTTGTGGCGATGATGATGGCGATGCTGCTGCTAACAAATGTGATGATGCTGATAGTTATGATGATGCTGATGATGGTGCGGACGGTGATGATGCCGATGGGAACTATGATGATAATGACGGTACTGCTGATGGTGATGGCGCTGATGGTACTGATAATGCTGATGGTGATGCTGCTGCTGGTGAAGATGATGATGAGTAGGATGGTGCTGGTGATGGCGATGACGGTGATGATGGCGATGATGAAAGTGACGTTGCTGAAATTGGTGATGATGGTGATAACGGCGATGATGCGGATGATGCTGATGATGATGGGGATGCTGACGCTGATGGTGATGCTGGTGATTAAACTGCTGATGCTGCTGGAAACAGAACCTGGTTGCCTCTGGCGGTGCAGACGACCGTGATGGTGTCGATGCTGATGATGGTGATGATGCAACTGATGGTAATGATGGCGGTGGTGCTGATGATGATGGTGATGGCCATGAAAGTGATGATGCTGATGATGATGCTGATGATGGCGATGATGATGCTGATGCTGCGAGTGATGATGCTGCTGCTGCTGATGACCCGTACGCTGATCATGCAGATGCTGGTGGCGACGGCGGTGGTGGCGATTATAGCTATGATGATGCCAACCATGTGGTGATATGTTGATGGTGGTGAGGATGATGGTGATGATGGTGATGATGGTTCTGGCTGTGATGATGCTGATGACGATGGTGCTGCTGGTGCTGATGCTGCTGATGATGATGCTGATGTCGAGGATAAGTATGGCGCTGCACATGGTGATGCTAATGATGATGGCGATGGCAGGGAATGATGATGCGTTGAGTATGACGATGATGATGTCGATGTTGATGCGGATTGTGATCACGAGGCTCGTGTTGCGGCTGCTGGTGACGATGATGATGATGTTGATCATGATGCTCATGCTGATGGCTATGCGAATGGTGATGGTGGTGATGACGGGGATGCTAGCGATGATAGCTATGATGATGATGACGATGGTAATGATGATTATGACGATGATGATGAAGCGGATGAGCGCGATGCGGATGCTGATGCTGATGACTATGACGCTGCTGATGATGCTGCTGATGGTGATGATGCTGTTTGTGATGGTGGTGATGAAGGTGCTGCTGTTGCTGGTGATACTGATGGTGATTGCGATGCTGATGCTGCTGCTGATGGTGCTTACGTTTATGCTGGTGTTGATAATGATGGTGGTGGCGATGATGATGATGCTGGTGATGGTGGTGACAGTGATGACGCTATGACAATGCTGCTGACAATGAGGCAAAGGTGGATGATGAAGATGCTCATGACGATGCTGGAAGTGACGCTGCTGCCGCTGATGAACCTGATGCTGCGTATGGTGAGGATGATGATGCCGATGGTGGTGATGATGTTGATGCTGATGCTGATGATGCTGATGCTGATCATGTTGCTGATACTGAAGGAGCTGATGATGACGATGCTGCTGATGATGCTGTTTGTGATGGTGGTGATGAAGATGCTGCTGTTGCTGGTGATACTGTTGGTGATTGCGATGCTGATGCTGCTGCTGATGGTGCTTACGTTTATGATGGTGTTGATAATGATGGTGGTGGCGATGATGATGATGCTGGTGATGGTGGTGACAGTGATGACGCTATGACAATGCTGCTGACAATGAGGCAAAGGTGGATGATGAAGATGCTCATGACGATGCTGGAAGTGACGCTGCTGCCGCTGATGAACCTGATGCTGCGTATGGTGAGGATGATGATGCTGATGGTGGTGATGATGTTGATGCTGATGCTGATGATGCTGATGCTGGTCATGTTGCTGATACTGAAGAAGCTGATGATGACGATGCTGCTGATGGTGCTGCTGGTGAAGATGCCGGTGCTGATGCTGATGATGGTGATGCTGATGGCGAGGATGGTGATGATGGTGGTAACGGCGATGACGACGACGATGATGATGACAATGATGCTCACGACGATGCTGATGGTTATGCTGCTGCCGCTGATGATAAGGCTGCGTCTGATAAACATGATGCTGATGCAGATGGCGATGATGACGCTGATGCTGCTGCTGATAATACTGATGGTGATGATGACGGTGCTGATAATCATGAACCTGATGCTTACGATGATGCTGATGCTGCTGATGATGATGACGATGCTGATGCTGATGGTGATGCTGAAGCTTGTGGCGATGATGGTGATGATGGTGATAACGGTGATGACGATGCTTATGCCGATGATAATAAAACTGATGATGGTGATGGCGGTGGCGATGGTGAACGTGTTGAATATGATTATGTGATGCCGATGAAGAAACTGGTGCTGGTGGTTATGATGATGCTGATGCTGCTGGCGACCCTGGTGGTGATTATGGTGATGATGGCGACGAGGATGATAGCGCCGTGCATGCTGATGGTTTTGATGCTGCTGCTGATGATGATGGTGCTGATGCTGCTGATGATTCTGGTGATGATGGTGGCGG